AGGAATGCTTGCACTGACTTCTTGTTATTCTTCCTGCATATTTAAAGGTTTTATAAAACTCACTTTAGGTATGTTGGTCAAGAACCAGTGTGGTGTTTTAGAGAACAATAGACAGCAAAACATCATGTTTTTTCCCATATCTGCCATGAAACAAGTACACCAATATTTGAAAGGGTTGAACAGCAAGGGTGGAAATCAGACAACGAAAGGAGTCATGAAAAGGAGGGTGACTGAATCTCTGCCAGGTCACCACGGTACCACTGAGATGCCAGACAAATGAGAAGTGCAAAGTTCTGCACCAGGGCTGCAATAACGCCCTGCAGCCCCACGGGCACCCAGTGTTACAGCGGGCACCTGCTCAAACAGAAGTCTCCCACTTTGAGGGGAAGACAAACCACCTACTGTGGTCAGCAGATCAAAGAATGCTATTATTCCCACTTGGCATCGGTGAAACTGCTCTTGGAGCACTGTAGCACCCCCAGTTCAAGATGGATGTGGAGAAACTGGAGCTGATCTGCCAGAGGGTTTTCAGGATGGTCAAGGGCCTTGAGTACAGCCTTGGGAAAGGTTGAGGGAGCTGGGCTTGTTTAGTCTACTAAAAAGGAGATTAAAGATAATCTAGACAAACTCCCCTTGGTAGCGGCCCATGACAGAACTGAGGACAATGGCCCCAGACTGTGGTTTGGGACTTCAGAGGGGATGTTAAGGAAAAAAATTGTCTTTGGGAGGTTAGCGCAGCACTGGAACAGGGCACCCGGAGAGGCGGTGGCATGTCCACCCCGGGAGCTTTCCAAGGCTCAGACAAAGCCATGACTAACCTGATGTAGGGTGGGCAATAGTCCCAGTTCACATGGGAGGATGGTTCAGACCCCTAGAGGACCCTTCCAGCCAGAGCATCTGTAAGGCAACATTGCAGCGTCGAACAGGTTCCTGGATTTGACATCTTTGTTTTTCTACACAGGTGCCCTAATGATCAAGTCTGAGGGTGCTGGCTCAGTGATAATCACAGGTGTGAAGAGTGGACGCTACCTATGCATGGACATGAAAGGAAACATTTTTGGTTCGGTGAGTAAGCTTTACTAAGACTTGAGACTAAAAGGCAGGCACAGTCTGCTTTTGTGGTGCCTGTTTTCTCAGCTAGGACAAATCTGTAGAGCTACAGCAGGAGGATGTAGATGTGAGTCAGCTGAGGATGTGCCGCTTAGGTTAAATTTTTCCTCTCTTCTTTGATTGTATTGAGTTGTAGGGCTGACAAAAATCATCTGAGCTCCTGCTTGGGTAAACGAGGGCAGAATGAGATCCAGTGATGGACCAATCTGAATTCCTACTGTAGCATAGAGCCATGGGTTGGGAGTAGCTCAAATGATGCAGCCCTCTGAAAGAAAACAATTTTATCATTATAATACCTTTGCTGAAAACACGGGCGTGCATCTCAGATCTACATTTACGCCTGACTTTGAGTTACAGAGCTGGCAGATCAGAAGAACACCTGCTGCAAGATCTCATGCCTCTTTCCGTCTTTAATCAGCACTTGTCATTCACCAAATCCCTCTGCTCACAGGTGTCGTATTTTTTTTCCCTAAGCATTACTTCAGTCAAGAGGACTGCGTGTTCAACCACAGGACGCTGGAAAATGGATATGATGTGTACCAATCTCCCAAGCACAACTTCCTGGTTAGCTTAGGCAGAGTTAAACAAGCTTTCTTCCCTGGCATGAATCCACCACCATACTCCCAGTTTTTGTCCAGGAGAAACGAAATCCCTTTGTTTCGATTCAACACACCTGAGCCCCACAGAAATACTAGAAGTGCAGATATCGATCCAATGGATCCTCACCAGATCCTGGTCCCACAGAGAAAGATCTCCGTGTTTGGATCTCAGTTGCAGCAGCAAGCGGACTTTTCCCACATGCCCAGAGAACCCGTGAGAATCAACCAGAATGACGTGGTTAACCCAGATGACCCACACGCCATGATGGATGCCAGGAGGTATGCAAGTCCTCGCTTTTATATTACAAGATAACTGGGGCCCCGCCACTTGCAAATTGAAGACATAGGTGAATACCATAGGCAAAAAGAACTGTTTAGCACACTCAGCCTGAATGTCAAAATGGCTATTAGAAACCTGAAAGACATTGGAAAAAAAATCCTTAAGTTCAAATTTTGTCCTTATAGATGACAGTTTATTGAAAAAACAAGTTAGACATTTTCTAGCTGGGGATCTGTTTTACTGGAAAGAAGATACATTTTTTAAAAGAATAATGCAAACAAAACCTTTTAGTGTCTGAATCACCTTAAGTATGCATCAGTGAAAAAAAGAATTCCCTTGAATGAAATGAGAAACCAATGTTATGTTACTGATGTAACCGGGAAGAGACCTGGAGCATCTGAGATTCCAACAGAGGCAGGGAATCCTCTTACTAGCACCATCCCTGGCTGTGCAAGCACAGTAGGCAAACTCACCAATGGTGTGTTATATTATTATATAAAATTTACTATATGTGTTTTTAGCTGTTAAGTTGGAGCTTCAGTTTCTTTTCACGCCCGTAGGAGTAAAAAAGTGACTGCTTTGCTGTCACAGGAGCAGCACACATGGAAAACTGGAGTAGCTGACAGGAGAACAGGACAAGATCAAATGGTCTTGTGTAGAAAGAGTAATTTCTGACGCTTATTGAATCCAAGGTGGGGTTTGGGGAAAAAAAAAAAGAGAGTCTCACTGTTCTCTCAGATGATTTTATGATTCTCAGATGATTCTATGATTCTAGTTCTATGATTCTGTAAAGTCCTTCTCTATCACATTTCTATATTCACTAAATCCTAGCATCACAATATGGAATTATAATGTAGAGACATTCATTAGTTTTGCATATTTCCAACTCAGAGAGAAGTACCAGGATTACAAACAATCAATGGTGTATTAAACAGGATGGTTTGTTTTGCACACTGCTGAACTATACAGGGGAAAAAAAAAATCCAAAAAATTATGCCTTATAGGTATCAAACTATTAGTAGCTCATGAGGACTCTCATCAAATGAGTGAAAATGAGGTTTGTGTTTAGAAAAGGAGAATCTAAGTTTAGAATCTACGTTTCTATTTAGTTCTGAGCAGCTATCAGATGCTTTATACTTGTAAGATTGAAATTACTTTAATATTAATCAGGAGATCTCTAATGTTGACAAAATCTTTTCCTTAGATTGGTATATGTTATGGGTAAGTTTACTTATCAGAATCTAACCTCTATATATACACCTGAAGTTTACAAATCTTTAGCTAAGATGCAATATCTGCAGAGCAGAGCTTTTCATTGTAATTTAGGTGTCAAATTGTTAGCTGGTAGAATTCAGTATAGCTTGATGTGTTTTAATGGAGCTATATTCATTTCCACAAGGATTCTGAGAATTGTGTACATACTCAGCTATTTTTCTCCCCTATTTCTTTTCATTTTGATTCAATCTTCCTGTCATCTTAAATCTGTGTAGTTTTCAAAAAGTTATTCTTGATGTACTCCACAGAAATCAATAGCAAGGTGAGCTGCAGAAAAAGTGTGGTAGATAGTTGAGAAGAGGGTTTTTTATTTTGGTGTGTGTGCATTTTCTGCATGTCAAGATGCAGATTCTTCTGTTTTGTTTATTTAGTATATTTAACAGCCTGACAACAGTCTGAAAATGGTACATTTTTCCAAGTGTGCTCATAGCACTAATGCAAAAGACTTTAGGCTAGATTCCAGTCCTGTTCTTTCTGTCTCATAGAGTAATTCACTGAAGCCACTGGAGTGCAACAAAATCAAAATTAGGGCCCCTGTGTTCCTTGCTTTCATTAAAATTGTTCTGGATTTAGCGCAGGGCCTGTCCTACTGGCAGCATTTAAAATAGTCTTCTTTTTTCATATATATATATATATATAGGGGATATCACTTTATCCACAAAATCCAAGTTGTTATGTTAGAAAAGTTATAGGTCCTGATTCTGCTGTTAGAGTAGCTTTCCTACATGGCGTGATTCCTAATTCATATAAGTTCTTACAAGCACAGGACAAGCCAAATGATTAGGATTAGACTAAGACTTCTGTTTCATAATTAATTGATTTTCATCCTCTAAAATCATCACGTTTTTGATTCATTTCAAAAGAAAAGGAGTGATTCTAACGGCTTTAGGAGGATCACAGGGTGGGCAGATAGTTGTGTATTTTCTTGCGTATTCAAAATACAGCAAGGCTTCTTACCTTGTTGTCTATACAGTGGAGAGGTGTGATTTTATATATGTGTTCTAGTTTAATAATTTTACTTGACTCCTATACCATTCTTCTTGGCTTTTGCTCCTTGAGAACTCTGGACTGCAATTACACGAGCAAAGCTTTCATTTTGCATAAATTGTAAGCTCCACAGAGCTCTCTAGGACTCCAAGTCAACAGACCTACAACAATTTGGTTAAATGTCTATACCAATCTCTATATTCATACGCAAGAGCAAGGTAAGAAGGGTTGCTCACCCCACCAGTAGCCAGGGGATTTAGTCTCCAAACTAAGAGTGAATGCACAACGGATTTTGCATCAAAACCCCATATTTGTAACTATAGAGAACTGTATGGAAATGTCATAAGAATTAATTCTTCAAAGGAGATGCTGGCCATCACCAGCTAGTAAGAAAGCATTACTAATTTATATTTCAATATTTATTTATTTATTTGAGTGGGTCTAAGTCCCACAGAATATTTATAAATATTTATAACAATGTATTATAGAGACTGTTCCCTTTTATAAAAGTACCAATAAACTTTTCCTTCTCTCCAAATGGTGGATTTTGTGCCGTCTGTTCAAGCCCCCATTCCCAAAGGACTTGAGTAAATAAATGGTATTGGCTGTGTCTGAAAAATCTGTGTGTTCCACTGTCCCCTGTGATTTTCAGCCTCATAGACTGCAGCTTTCTGGGTGTTTCATGCATCACAACGGTGAAAGTTCTGTGAAAGATGATGAGAACAACAAAGCTTTAATAGGACTAAACTGACCATGAAGAGACTGTGACCTCTACTGGGAAAGTTCTTCTGCAACCTAAAATCAACGGAAAACCACTGGTCTAGCAGTTCAGTCCCGCTAGGAAATTTTTGTGACCCTGGCTCCAAGGTATTAGGGTAAAAGATATTTGGTAAGTTACCAATACTGCTCACTTATTGCTGCTCATGCAAAATATTCTAACTCCAATCCTAGGGCCATGCGCAGGGTCACAGACTGATTAAATCGCAGCTTTCATCCTCACAGTTCTTTCCTGCAATGGTCCCCAGAGAGCTGCAGAATGGCAAGTGCCCTTGGGTCTGACAGATTGTCTCCTTGCAGCACTTCGCCTCACCACAGATACTCTACAGACCTCTTATCGTAGTCAGCAGCACGATTTGCATCTGCTATGGTGCCAATACCAAGGGAAGCATTGTATTACCAGGAGATACCACAGTAGCGTCGCACCTTGTGGGCAAGAGGACAAGGGCTTCAGTGGGAGGGTGGTCAGGTAGGTGGGGAACTCTCTTCTCCAAGATCCCTTTCTCCTCCCATTGCTAAAGATTAGGTCTATGGACCTCAAAGGGGGAAGAAGCACAGCAGGAATGTGCAACAGGATTGAAGCATATGAGAAACTTAATAGATGCCGAGTATTGTAAAAAAATCAGCTTGTATCATCTAGTCTCCCCCACACTTGAAATCTCAGTACTGCCTTGGGGCTGTTCAAACTCATTCACAGTAAGCGGTGCATAGGGAAATAAGAAAGCATGCTGCAGAGCAACCATAGCCCCTGAAACCATCACTGCCCCCTCTCTCTCTTTCCAAAAGCAGGGCAAACACTAAGGTATGTTCAGTTGTTGCCTATCCTTGTCCGGGCAGCTTGCTCTGTCGTGAACTGCAACCGGATCTTAAAGCAAGGAATAAATGCTGAGTGAGAGGAACAACCCAAAGACTGCCATTTTATGGATCACAAGGTGTTAATAGAAATTATTTCTAAGACTGTTTTCTCCATGGAGTAACCCACATAAAACACCGAGCATCTGCAAGGTACCTTAGCACATCACTGAAGGCGACAGCATGGATGACAATGGTAAAGGACAATCAATGAAATCCAGATTTCCTGTTTCTGGTCTCCTAAAAGACGACACCTCCTAAAAACCGCACTTGATCCCCATCTCTAGGCCAAACAGATTCTGGGAAATGTAAGTTAAAAGTGAAGTGACTCCTGTACTAGAAGTGTTTGTAAATGGTGACATTAAAGAATAGTACCTGAGCAACAGTGTGAATGTTGTGAATGCCTCAAAGGACATCTCAGAAGATTTAACTGGGCTTTTTTTTATTTAATTACTGAATATAGAATGCTTTATCATCAAACTCTTCAAGCCCACATTGCTAAAAAGGACCATCAGAAAGCTGGACTGCATGTAAACTAGTCTGTATATGTACACCTCCAAAAAATTTTTTTTTGGTAAAAAATTTTCAGTTTTCATTTTTCAGATAAAAGCAAAATGAAGAGTCAGCAGAATCAGGTGCATTGTCCTTTTTCTGGGTAACATGTGCCTGCAAAGTGAGGGGAGCAAAACAACTGCAAAGAGTGCATTTCTCACAGCTGAGAACAAAGTGCCAGGTAGACATCACCCATCTGTGTTTTGTCTCGATACAAGTGCTAGAATTGTAGTGGCATTACTGCAATGGCTCTGCATGGGTGTATTTTTCTTCATATATTTTAAAGTGAGAAAAAATGAGACCAAGAGCCAGAGCGGTGACAATGCCAGTGGAGGAGCCCCCTCTGCCCCCTCTCTTTGGGGTGCAGGAGTGGCAGCCCTCTTAGCAGCATGGGTCTGCCCAGCATAGGGCATGTCTGTACAGAGGCACCCACCTCCAAAAGTTTCATTTCTCCAAGACCTCCTTCACACCAGCTATCTCCTTATGGTTCCTTCCTTCCTTGTGCAGCTCCATCCATTCTTGCTTTCTAAAAGAAAGACACAGAGAAGGTCAACCTGGCCCAGATCAGGCTTAGCCTCTCGCTGGTCTAG